ATCATTGTATTAATTGGATAAAATTGGTATAGTTATAATGAGGCTGCTATTGAAATGATATTGGAAAATCAATAAATACATATTTTATTTTTTAAGAAAGTATGCGTGCAATCAGCTTCATGTCTGCTGGCAGGCACATGGAATAGATTCATAAATAAATAGAAGTTGCCTTTCAGGAATAAAGACTGGAATATCCTTAGAGAAAAGTCAATGAAGGGATTCATTCAGTGGGCAAGCAACACAATAATTGGTTGTATTAAACAAGAAGTGAGGGAATAATAAGCAAAGTATCATAACACTCTACTGTGAGCATATGTTATGCCCTTGCTTTGAATAATTCATATCGTCTGGAACATTTCATATTCAAGAGACATAATATGAATAGCAAATTTCCAGAGAATGGTAATAGCAATTATTGGAAGCACTAGAGGAAGAAGGAATAAAGTTACTGTTTACAAGTGAAGCAAGTTAGCACTCTTAGAGCATCTCTTAATATGTCCCTACGACCTCATGAATCTGATCACACGAGAGTAGTAGCACAGAATTATCTGAGTGTTTTAAAACGTTTATTAGAAGTGAGTGTGCAAAATCCTTTGCTTGGAAAGGCCTAATATTCCCTTAATGCCTTGCATTCACCCAGAAATACTGCTTTCAAAAATAAAATAAACAGTCATACATTCATAGCTGGCATAATCACCAACGATCATCTAGGAGTTGATAAGATGCTGTCTCATTTGGGAGAAATGTCCTAAGAAATGTGCTAGAAGCTTGCAGAAAATCAGGTTCATGATTTAATCTGGTCCTTATGAATCGAATGGTTATACCCTTTCTAATAAAACCCAGCAAATGTTATTCAGTCATACCTTGGTTATTGAATGGTTTGTTGCCCAACAAATTGGCTCCTGAACACCACAAACCTGGAAGTAAGTGTTCTGGTTTGCAAATGTTTTTCGGAAGCTGAACTTCCGACGCAGCTTCTGCTTGACTGCCGGAAGCTCCTGCAGCCAGTCGGAAGCCGTGCCTTGGTTTTCGAATGGTTTCGGGAGTTGAATGGACTCCCAGAACGGATTAAGTTCGAAAACCAAGGTACCACTGTAAATTTATTGCCTTGCTCTTGCACCTTAGAATCTTGCAGGGGCACCAACTTGCCCCCAAGAATGAGGTGACCCAGCACACGGTGTGTGTGATGTCACACGGATTGAATGTGCAATGTCACATAGTCTGGAAGAGGCCAAACACTCTGAAGGAGCCAGCCACTGAAGCTGCGCTTCGGTCCATGCTTGGCCTCCTCTTCCCCCTTGACATTGAGGGGGCTGAAGACACCTAGAGTTGGCATGCCTGGAATCTTGACTTCTGGACCCTGTGCTTCATGCTGAGCCTGTCCCACTATAAATCTGAACAAAGACACCCTCCTGACTTACAAGTAAGAGTCGCTATCATAGTGTTTGGGGGCAGGGCCCTGACATAAATTACTGTGGGGAAACACAGACAACTGTGTTGGCGCAGAGGAAGAACATCTAGAATGCACTATAGGGCAATGACTTTATTAGGACCAAGCGTAATGGCACAGAACAGAGAACAAGCTTTCTAGAACCCTTTGGCAGGATGGCTGTCCAGCAAAATGGCGGTGAGGGAGGAGAAAGATGGTATGATGTTAAAGCCATGAAGTCAGCCGTTGCAGGTAGGATGCCAGATTTAAACCTGGGAACTTCTGCACTCAAAGCAGATGCTGTACCAGGGAGCTATGACCTTTCCATTGCTAACAGGTTTTAGAGACAAAGAAATAGCCATTACATATTCCCCATTTTTTGGAAATGTGAAATCCAGCCAGTACTTGGACCTATCTCCAGCTCTAAGTGAAAGGCATACAGGTTCCTTGTGAAGCAGCAAACAGAAGTAAAAAAGAAATGAAGTTCTATTTTATATTAGTAAAGCTGGAGATTAATTGCAGGTAGACGTTGAACATTCACTTATTTACTGTATAGGGTTTTGTTGCATTGCCCTGAAGAAAGCAGGAAAGTGGCTAATCGTTTAAAAGTCAAAACCTAGCATAAAAATATATAATTAAACCTTATTAAATTATAAACTGTAACTGAATTTATCAAAGTTATCCTTTGATTAAGGTGGTACAGCAAATGTATCTGTGCAGCTTTGAAATGTCCTTCTGTGGGTTTCCAACAATGCAGCTCAAAAGTGCCATGGGAACCCACCATTGCAAGTTTTTGTTTCTTTGTGTTTTTCTTACCAGCCAAGGAATTTAAATTTTTTGCTCCCCACTAGTGCTTTATTTCCACACAAGATAAATTGATACAGTGCCAATGCTTGGGTGGATGAAGACTGCCATAGGCTCTTACTGCCACCTAGGGGCAATCAGTTACATTCGGCCTATTTCTGCTTATTCATGTCAAAATAGCTAGATGCTACCAAAAAGTACAGGTTATGCCACAGTCTATGGCAAAAGCATTTTGAGATTATGCCATGGTAACTCACACTTCATTTGCACAATGGTAATAACATATTTTGCCTTCTAATTTTTAAAAAACAGTTTCTGCTTTTCTGTCCAATGAAGTTTAGATATTTAAATAGGGTTGTTATTCGTGTGTTTTTTTAATACTGGTGTTCCTTTTTGATCCAATAATGTAGCCCCCAAGTACCATCTGCTCACAATAGTGGGGTATCTACAGGCTTGAGGAAATCCTGAGATTTGCAACAGAAATATTTAGGGGGGAAATCCACAAGGAAATCCCCAATGAGGACTGAGCATGCTCAGTGGTTATGGAACCTTGACCATCTTTGGAGAATAAATAAAGGGTATGGGGAATTTGGTTGCAACTCTGAAAAGAAGCACTCTCATGCATATTTTGTTGCAGTTATTTTATTATTTAGTTATTTTAAAAATGTATACAACACCCTTCATTGCAAGGCCACAGGACAGTTTACAACATAGTAACATAGTAGATACTTAACGTAAATACAAAACATAGGCTTGTATCCAAAATTAGTTATGCTCAGAGCAGACCCATTGAAACGAATGTGCATAAAGTAACTTGGGATTAATTCCAGTTCCCACTATTTTATTTAAACGCACGCACACATACAGATAGTGGTGGGTGGGTGTGTTAAGCTGAAATGCTATTGCAACCCATATGCTTTGGGTCTTAAAAAATGCACACACTCCACAGTTCCAGTGCCTTTATTCAACATTTTTATTAGTCCTCGGGTCTTTTAAAGCACAACTGTGCAGTTTTGGAGCAGGATGGCTTTCGTAACAATCATTCCCCTTTTGCTATTTTCCCAGCCCTCAAACAGCAATGTTTTGCCACATCTGCTACCAAGATGTACTCTTCCTGTTTTGCCTATGCAGGATAAGTTGTTGTTGTTGTTTAGTTGTTTAGTTGTTTAGTCGTGTCCGACTCTTCGTGCCCCCATGGACCAGAGCACGCCAGGCACTCCTGTCTTCCACTGCCTCCCGCAGTTTGGTCAAACTCATGCTGGTAGCTTCGAGAACACTATCCAACCATCTCATCCTCTGTCGTCCCCTTCTCCTTCCCAACATCAGGGTCTTTTCCAGGGAGTCTTCTCTTCTCATGAGGTGGCCAAAGTATTGGAGCCTCTGCTTCAGGATCTGTCCTTCCAGTGAGCACTCAGGGCTGATTTCCTTAAGAATGGATAGGTTTGATCTTCTTGCAGTCCATGGGACTCTCAAGAGTCTCCTCCAGCACCATAATTCAAAAGCATCAATTCTTCGGCGACCAGAAAGAATTATGGTCCAGCTTTCACTTCCATACATCACTACTGGGAAAACCATAGCTTTAACCAAACGGACCTTTGTTGGCAAGGTGATGTCTCTGCTTTTTAAGATGCTGTCTAGGTTTGTCATTGCTTTTCTCCCAAGAAGCAGGCGTCTTTTAATTTCGAGACTGCTGTCACCATCTGCAGTGATCATGGAGCCCAAGAAAGTAAGATCGCTCACTGCCTCCATTTCTTCCCCTTCTATTTGCCAGGAAGGTGATGGAACCAGTGGGCCATGATCTTCGTTTTTTTGATGTTGAGCTTCAGACCACATTTTGCGCTCTTCTCTTTCACCCTCATAGTAGCAGATACCTTTTTTTAAAATAATAATAAAAAAGAATGGTAGCACATGAATCTTCTACGTAAGAAGGGGCTGACGAATATCAGCATTCCTAGCAGGATGGCAGCTCCTGATTCGACCGCAGGGCGAACGAGAAAGAAAGGAGAGCATAGCTGTCAAGTGTCCCTTATTTGAAGGGACAGTCCCTTATTCCAGCGCCGTGTCCCGCTGCTGTCCCTTATTGATGGATGTCCCTTAAATGTCCCTTAAATGATGTCCCTTAAATTTCAAAGGAAGCAGCTCCTCTCCCTCCCTCCCTCCCTGCCGGCCTGGGAGGAGGGAGGCTCCAACTGTGTTGCTTGACTGTGTTGCTCACCCAATAAGAAGTCTAAGAATGACTGGGGGGTGGAGCTTGCATGCCTTGTGTGTGGCTAGTTAATGCAAGCTGAGGGGGTTTTCGAATGCTGGACACCATTTTGTTGCATGTGCTGCTGCAAACTTTGCAGTGCAAAGCCAGGCCGGGGAGCCATCTTAAGTTGAGGCTGCATAGGCCTTGTGGTGCATGTGATTCAGATTCTATTCAGTTGAACCTCTGGTTACAAAGTTGGTTGGACAGTGTTCTCGAAGCTACCAGCATGAGTTTGATCAGAATGCAGGCGGACAGGAAGACTGGAGTGCCTGGAACAGGTGAGGCTGCAGGTCCCTTATTTTGGCTGCTGGTCCCTTATTTTCAAGGCTGCTGGTCCCTTATTTTCAAATCTGTAAGTTGACAGCTATGAGTGAGAGGGATTCCTGAATGTGACTGACATCACTCGCTCCGCTTCTGCGCCGGTTGCAACGACACCTCCGCGACGGCAGGGGCCGCTGTAGGCAGGACGGGAGCAGATGCGCCCTCTTCCCACCGCCCCCGGAAGCCGCTCGGGGCCTGACTAGGCGGTTCCGCTCGCTTCCGCCCGCGGGTTGGAGGTGGCGTGAAAGGGAGAGCGGTTGTTTTCGTCGCAGCTTCAGCCGGAGATTGAGAGAGGCCGGCCGTGAGAGGACCATCCGCGGCACGATGCCCACCGTGGAGGAGCTGTACCGTAATTACGGCATCCTAGCCGACGCCAAGGAGACCGCGGCCGAGGTGAGGGCGGGCGGGCGGCTCGGACTGCGCGCGGGGTCTTGGGCCTAGGCGGCGGCGGGGGAACATCGGCGCCTTTATGCGGCGGAGGCGGCTATTGTGGGGGGGAGAGAAAGGAGGACGAACCAGGCTCCCCACTCTCTGCCTCTGCTCACTCCCCCCCCCGTCATGAGTCTGGATTCGGACCCCCCCCCTTTTTTGAGGGGGCACCTCCTCCCCCTCCGCTAGAAATCTTCCATTGAGAAGGTGCCCCTTCCTTAGCTAAACAACCTGAGGGTCGGAGCTTGAAATCACGGGTGGGCCGAAGGCTCTTGGCAAAGGCCTGCTTAAAAATAAAATAAATAAAAATCCGGTTCTTCATAAAAGGATAAAGAAGAGCTGTTTTGTGGGGGGGGGGCGGGGAACGTGCAGCGTGATAATCCCGTGCTCGCTTCTCCCAGCGCTCGTTTAGTTCAACGGGTTTTTTATTTCCCCTCAAAAGTAAACCTGTTTAGAATTGCGGCCGCAGCATACCATGTGCTGCCTGCTGCGCTTGCTTATAGAGGCAGGGTTGTAGTCGTGTTTACGTGGGCGTTCATTCAGAAATCCAGTCGCAAGTGATGCGATATAACATCGCATTTTGTATAACATGTAGCATTACGTTATCGTGAGTATGCATCCCTGCAGCTCAGTCCTATGCATGTTTACTGACCAATTCTCCTGTGTTCAGTAGTGTGTGTTTTAGAATTGTGGCCTTAGAGACTTGTGTGCCATGCATCCTCTTCTAACGCCATTGCCCCAAGGGATGCCCTTTCCCCAGTGGTGTATTGTACTCACAAACACAGGGTGTTTTCCCCCTCAGCTCTTCTTCTTGTAAGCATCTGTGTTTGCTGTGTTGTACCTTGATGTGTAAAAGACCAGGGGAGAAAAATCTTTTCCCCCCCGTTATACTGCCACCCGCGATGATCCATGGCACTGTCTCCTCCAACACTTGGGGTCACCTAGCAGTAGGTTATGAAGAGCATATAACGTATCCATCTAAAATTAAACACTGCACGCATAATGGTAAAAGTGTTCAGCTCTTTCCCAGATTAAGTCTGCTCCCCAAAAGCTAGGACAAATAGGATGATATTGCAGTATTTGTAGAAGATGCTTGCAATGCAATCCTATACATGGCTTACTGAATTGAGTGAAACTTACTCCCATGTACATGGGCATTGGTTTGCAACCTTAGACTTTTAGGAAAGGTGGTTTTATAGTTATCTAACAGACACTAAAAATAACTTTATGCGTGCTGTTTGGCACATGAGTGGTGGTGGTGAGATCTGCAGTGGATAGTGGTGATATACTCTCGGATATGCCTAAGCTATAAGATTCTTTATATGTAAATTTATTCAGAGCCTTAGAACAGTATTCTGATATTGTAGTACATTATTGCATCTGTTAACTGCATAAAGCAGAGAGTTTCTATCTTCTGTCTTAGCACAAAGATGCTTACCAGGTGATCTTGGATGGTGTCAAGGGAGGTGCCAAGGAGAAGAGATTAGCAGCACAATTTATTCCAAAATTCTTCAAACATTTCCCTGAACTGGCAGATTCAGCTATCAATGCCCAACTGGACCTTTGTGAGGATGAAGATGTTTCTGTAAGTATTTTTTTTCATCAGCACTTAGCACTTGCCTCTTGTTCCTTCTTATTTCATCCGTTCCCATCTCGTCCCCACCCCACTCAGATTGACCCTAAAAAAATTGTGGGGGAACAGAACACTTTTCACTCATAAGGTCTAAACCAGGAGAAACTGCTATTACATCTTTGGGTTATTTAACCCAGTGTTTCCCAAACCGGTGTTCCGCGGCACACCAGTGTGCCGTGAGACCTTGCCTGGTGTGCCGTGGGAGGGAGGCGGGGCGGCGGCAGCATCTCTGCTGGATGCAAATCCAAACATGGCGGGCGCCTCCCTCGCTCCTTTGTAGGCGGACCATCGAGAGAGAAAGAAAAGGAGGCGAAAGAGCGAGAGAAGGCGCCTGCGCGGAAAGAGGAGCGAGCAGTGCGCCTGCGCGCCGCGGCGCCCGAGATCGCTTCTCCCCACCGCCCCTTGCTTCAAAAGAGGTCCGGAGGCAGCGGGAAGCGCTTCGCGCTGCCCCCGGACCTCTTTTGAAGCAAGGGTTTGCGGGGAGAAGCGATCTCCCCGCAGCCCCTTGCTTCAAAAGAGGTCCGGGGGCAGCGGGAAGCGCAGCGCTTCTTCCCCGCTGCCCCCGGACCTCTTTTGAAGCAAGGGGCTGCGGGGAGATCGCTTCTCCCGGTGCTCCGAAGCGGGACGGGGGGGGCGGGAACACCTGCCCCAGCCGCCCCGCTTCGGAACGCTGCTCCGAAGCGGGACGGGGGGGGCGGGAACACCTGCCCCAGCCGCCCCGCTTCGGAACGCTGCTCCGAAGCGGGGCGGGGGGCGGGAACACCTGCCCCAGCCGCCCCGCTTCAGAGCGCTGCTCCGAAGCGGGGCGGTGGGGCGGGAACCTCGCACCCCGCCGCCGGGCATCGGAACGATGCCCCGATGCCGGGCGGTGGGGCGGGAACCTCTCCCCCCGCCGCCCGGCATCGGAACGATGCCCCGATGCCGGGCGGTGGGGCGGGAACCTCGCACCCCGCCGCCGGGCATCGGAACGAGGTCCTGGACCTCTTCTGAAGGCAGGCGGGGGCAAAAGTCTTTGGTCCCCCCGCCTGCCTTCCCGGGACAGCGGAGACTTCTCCGCTGCCCCGGGCGATCTTAAAATGCTGGCGGGTGGGAGCGAAGCGTTCGCTGCCGACCCCCAGCATTTTAAAATCTCCTCGGGGCAGCGGAGACTTCGCTCCCGCCCGCCAGCATTTTAAAATCGCCCCGGGACAGCAGGGGCTTTTAAAATGCTGGCGGTCGGCAGCAAAGCCCTCCTGTCCCCGGAGCTTGCGGGGCGGGAGGTGGGAAGAAGGGCTTTTCTTCCCACCGCCAGCCTTCAGAACAGCCTTCTGAAGGCTGGCAGTGGGAAGAAAAGCCCTTGTCCCCCCCCCCCCCCCAGCCTTCAGAAGAGGTCGGGGGACAGACTGTCCCCGGACCTGGTCTGAAGGCGGTTTCCCTAGGAACGCATTAATTGATTTTCAATGCATTCCTATGGGAAACCGTGCATCGCAAGACGAAAAACTCGCAAGACGAAGAGACTTGCGGAACGAATTAATTTCGTCTTGCGAGGCACCACTGTACTTTTTATATAGTCAATATAGGCACAGAGTTAAATTTTTTAACATTTTCTAATGGTGGTGTGCCTCGAGATTTTTTTCATGAAACAAGTGTGCCTTTGCCCAAAAAAGGTTGGGAAACACTGATTTAACCAGGATTGGCATGCTTGTCAACTGATTGGTAAATTATTTTATGAAACAAAATTATGGGAAGTTGGTAGTGTATTTTTTTTTTTTTTATGTACCATATAATCATCTGGGAGCAATCAGAGTGTGAGTGCCTTTTTTACCTGTTCATCAGGAGTTGAGGTTCATACAAACTTCATTTAGGCACAGGCATCACATTTCAAAAAGTTTTTTCATATACAGTAGTTTATTTATGAATTTAGTAGCTTCTCTTCAACATGTGCTCCCAACATATATGGCGCAAAATTTAAAATGAATTAACAAAATAATTTAAATACCAATTTCAAAATAACTAAAAGAACAATGCAAACTAGCAAAACCAAAACAGGAATGACTCCCCAAGGCAGGATGAAACTACATCATATTTGCCCGTTTACAAAACATTGACATAAAATCAGCAAGTTGTACAGAAAAGGTTCATCCTTAAATTTGTTTTAGTTGTTAAAATGTTTAGCAACAGTGCAAGAGGAAATTTGTCATTTTAAACTTTTCTGTGTTGTAGTTTTATTTGGGTGTGTGTTAACCTCAGTAGATATTGATGTGACTTTTAGACTGTTCATCTGTTGTACTGTGATGGTCTAATGACAGATAAACTTGTCATATTTACATATCTACCACAAAGTAAGTCCCATTTTCAGAGGAGCTTCTTCCCAGGTACATTGATAGAGGATTTCAGGCTAAATCCCTTGGTGGAGCTCATGGTAGCCTAAGGCCTCTTGTAATTAAGTAACGGTGAACATAAAAACTGGCAGCACAATCAGACAGTAAATTGTGTCTGACTTTCCCAACCTTTTGTTTGATGCTGTATCATCTGTGTAAGAGAATTTTAATTCATTGGTTGGTGAATGTGTGTGTCTTTGTTTTGTTTATAGATCCGGCGCCAGGCAATCAAAGAATTACCTCAGTTTGCTACCGGTGACAACCTCCCCAGAGTGGCAGACATACTTACCCAACTTCTTCAGTCAGGTAGAAGAGATTGGTGTTTGTATTTGTAACCTCCTTACAAGGTGTAATCAGAGCAAGATTCATTGCTATGGTTGTCTTCCTTAACCATCTTGTTTTTTCCATGTCAATATTTGCTGTTCTGTATTTTAGGAGTCTTCACCACCCCATAACTTTTGCTGTCTTACCTCCCATTCAAATTCCTAAACGCTCTGAACCTCCTTTGATTGAAAACTCAACATGTACAGGGAGCTGGCAATCTGTACATTCTAAAAGGTGCCTGTCAATCTTGACTCGTGCTAAAAGGTACATATTCCACAGTGCAGGAAAGGGGTATGCTAATGTACCATTGCAGGCAGAAAAGCACAGGCATGCCTCAGAACCAGATGGCACCCCTACCATTCTGTGTCTTTCCCTCATTCTTTCACTAGAAGGTGCCCTCTTCTTGTGCACTGGCACAGCAGATGGTACTGCTACTCTGGCTAGTGCAGGAATTCTTCGTGCTAGCTTCTTGGGGAAGAAGTATCCACAGCCTCTAGGTCTTTGTCTTAAAATCTGCATAGGTTTGTTGGAAACAATGCTGCTTCACATGTTGCAGTGAAACTTTTTGCTTGCCACAGTTAAATGGGATAGATAGATGTATATGGCTTCTAGACATTGGGTGAAATCCAGTGGTGTTCATTCACTGGTGGAATGTACACTTTTGGCAGAATGAATTCCTTCTCCTGCCCCTATCACCTAAAGCAATAGATTCCCTCTGGAGCAGAGGGGCGGGTGCAAGGGGATAGAAATGTAGGGGGAGGTCTGCTTGCGTGGTGTTGTATGTTGCCCATTGATTAAACATTGTTGTCTTTCTAAGTTTGTTCTGAGTATAAGCTTTCATGAGCATGCACACTTCTTCAGATATTCTTCAGTGTGCATGCACACGAAAGCTTATACCCAGAACAAACTTAGTTGGTCTCGTAAGGTGCTATTGGACAATTTTTTAATTTATTTCAACTGCGTCAGACCAACACAGCTACCTACCTGAATCTAGAATTGTTGTCTTTGTGCTTGTTTCTGTTGTATTCTGCTTCTCTTGTTTGTTTCTATTGTAAAATAAGCAGTGTTATTTATAAATTATAAATTATTTATAAATTTATAATTTATAGAGAATATTTTAAAAAACAGTGCCCTCAGGTTAAAACCTGGACATGCTTTGATTAATTTTCGCAAACCACAATATGGATTGTAATAATAGTATTCAGATAACAGAAGAAATGGCATAATGATTAAAGAAGCAGTTTATTAAACAGATAAGACAGACCCGCTTTGAGGAAGACGGATGTCTATTGGGGAAGATAAGGAATTGGGAATTAAGAATATGGTGGCATAAGTTCTTTTGTCAGAACATATGGCTTTATGGATACAGTGGTGCCTCGCAAGACAAAAATAATCCGTTCCGTGAGTCTCTTCGTCTAGCGGTTTTTTCGTCTTGCGAAGCAACCCTATTAGCGGATTAGCGCTTTTAGCGGCTATTAAAGGTTTAGCGGCTAAAAGGCTCTTAGCGGCTTAGAAAAAGAGGGGGGGAAGCGGAAAAAAATCGCAAGACTCGCAAGACGTTTTCATCTTGCGAAGCAAGCCCATAGGGAAAATCGTCTTGCGAAGCAACTCAAAAACGGAAAACCCTTTCGTCTAGCGGGTTTTTCGTCTTGCGAGGCATTCGTCTTGTGGGGCACCACTGTATATGTATGGGTTTTTTTGGTTTATCATTTTTGTTAATTTCTTGTGTGTGTTTGCTAAGTAAGAAAACTAATAAAAAGCATATTTTAAAAAAGCAGTGTTATTATTATGCTATCATTGTGCATGGTGTTTTACAGGGAATGTTTTATATGCTTCTTGTAAGGAAATAAACATAAGTCAGCCAGATGCAGCTTTGTATTTGTACAGCTGTGTTATCTGCCTTCTGTTTTTCAGACAATGGTTTTGCCACTTTCATTCTTCACCTGGTTCTTTGAATAATTTCTTATCACATGAGATTCTAGTTTGTGTTGATTTCCAGTGCTTCACTTTATTTAGCTAGAATAAATATTTTCATCTTTAATTTTCTCTTTTCCCCAGATGATTCTGCAGAATTCAACTTGGTTAACAATGCTTTGCTAAGCATATTTAAGATGGATGCTAAAGGTAAAGCATGCATTATATCCTGACATTTATAACTTGTTTGTACGCTCCGTTGGATCTTTTGGGATGAGAATTGACTGTCTTTTGGGAGATATGGAATAGTTACCAGTCTGAATACCTTTCTGACAATAATAATAGGACAATTTGCAAAGATACAAAGAATATCATTTTGTGTATTACAATAATAGCTATTCCAGAGGTGTAGATGTTTTAGAATCAACAGGATTTTTTCTACTAATGTGGTATATAACATTTACAATTATTTATGCGATTTCCATGATTTCCATGTAGCTGACTCATGCTATTCTTTGGCGATCACTTGTAGTCGAGTAAGATTGTCTTCCATAAACACGGTTTTAACAGTCAGTCCATAAGTGACTGTGGGGGCCATTTCTGGATCCACCCGTCCTTCCACAGTGGAGACATAGGTTTCCGGGCAGGAGTTGATCACAGTGAGGGTTTGCCAAGCGTGCCTTCCTCCTAGCATGTTTCGTCCTGAGCTCGAACGTCTTCAAAGCCCATGACACCTTTGGTAAAGGCTGTTCTCCAATTGAAGTGCTCTCAAGCCAGTGTTTCCTAGTTGTCAGTGTTTATACTACATTATTTTATTTTTTTTAGATTTGCATTGAGAGAGTCTTTAAACCTCTTTTGTTGACCACCAACATTACGCTTTCCATTTTAAAGTTTGGAATAGAGTAGTTGCTATGGAAGATGATAATCAGGCATCCGCACAACATGACCAGTCCAACGAAGTTGATGTTGAAGAATCATTGCTTCAACACTGGTGATCTTTGCTTCTTCCAGTACACTGGCGTTAGTTCACCTGTCATCCCAAGTGATGTGTAAAAAAATTTTGGAGACACCGTTGACGAAATTTTTCAAGGAGTTGGAGATGGTGTTTATAACATATGTTATGTAACATATACTTGGAATACTCAAATATCTAACAAAATTATATTCCTTTCAATTGTAAAGGGATGCTTATGTGGTATTTATTTCTATTTTAGGAACACTGGGTGGTTTATTTAGTCAGATTCTTCAAGGAGAGGATATTGTGCGAGAAAGAGCCATCAAATTCCTCTCCACAAAACTTAAAACACTGCCTGAAGAGGTGTTAACAAAAGAAGTAGAAGAACTCGTACTAACAGAATCGAAGAAAGTGAGTACCTTAGTTTAGTTAAATTACGTTCTTCATAACAGAATTGCTTCCTATCAGAACACATTAACTACCAAATATGGGTGTAAATTAAAATTGCTGCTAATAGTGTTGCTTCACCAGTTCAAGATTCTGAAACATTTTAGTTGAGTCTAAAAAAGGTATGCTATTTTTACTGTGGGGTGGTTGCTCCCCCCCCCCCCCAATGAACTATCAAGACTACAAACATTTTTGTCAATGCTTTGGAGAATACCTAAGTTAGCTATCTAGGGGGGTGATACTGGAATTGGAGGAATAAATTTTACTACCTGACATACCATACATGTAGGAAACACAGCCACATAAGGGTCATTTTCCATTTAGTGCTGGAGATGTATCCAAGTGACAGCTGGCATTTATTTTAAGATGTAGAGGAGCCATTGTTCCTTAATCCCATTCTTATATTTGCTCAGAGAAAAGTCCCACTGAGTACAGTAGGGCTTTGGCCTAGGTAAATGTACAAAGGTTTGCAACCTTAGACCCATTGTATTAAATGTAATAAGTTAATTTGCAACAGCACTTAGGTTCTATGTGGCATAATGTACAAAGTTTTGGATTTAGACTGTTCAACCAAGATTCAGATTCTGCTCAGATATGAAGCATTGGGGGAGATAATTCCATCTGACTCTTAATGCATGGAAGCTTTACTACTAAAGGAAGAGCTTTTTAAAATGGTTTGTACACTGAAATATACTGTAAAAAAAATTAAGCGAGGAATGATCATTTGCAAGGAAAAAGAACACATGAGCAATTTTTTCCACCTGCATTGGTATGATTATTCATTATTTTCTATTTTTCTCTTCCTTTTCTTAAGGTGCTTGAGGATGTGACAGGAGAGGAGTTTGTTTTATTTATGAAGATACTATCAGGCTTGAAAAGCCTGCAGACAGTGAGTGGGCGGCAGCAGCTAGTTGAACTGGTGGCTGAACAAGCTGATCTTGAGCAGACCTTCAATCCATCTGACCCTGATTGTGTGGATAGACTCTTACAGTGTACTCGTCAAGCAGTCCCACTTTTCTCAGTAAGTATTTATGGTGTTTTGTTTTTTAAGTGTTGTGACTGTTGTGTCAACACAGCATGGCTGTATTGGCTGTGTCAGAATGACTATCCCATAATACAAGTCATGGCTGTGAAAAGCTGCAAGACTGTTGCATGTGTTGCTGATATATATTTATAAAATAGCTTGTATGCTACTTTTGTCCCCCTCAAGGACTCTCCCAATAAATAAAGCAAGGCCATCAATTTCATTGGATCTACCCTGAGTACGATTAATGTTTGGTATCACCCAATAAAATCTAGTTAAGATAGATTAAAACCAAGTGCAAATCAGGGAGGAGACAACAAAATTCAAATCAGATTAAAAACCAAGTGGAATTAAAATACCTTGGAAGCTGAGTTTAAAGCTTTAAAGAAAGGAAACCAACCCATTTAAGATACCTGTTTGCTAGAGTTGTAGCTTTCCTATCTCTCACTGTATGTAAATCACACCACTGTTTTATCTGAGCATGCTTGCTGTCTAAAATCTTTGAAGGTGTTTCAGTCTTGGAAAACAGTGTCATGTTTACTTAGTAGTATGCTAACTTAATGATCTTGTGATTAAAAAGGCTTTTAGTGCTAGCTGCTATCAAATGAAAGATTGGAATTGTGCAGCAAAGCATTGGAAAATGTTGCTGTTACAGCTGCTATTTTGTTTTTCTACAGAAAAATGTCCACTCCACAAGATTTGTCACTTACTTCTGTGAGCATGTGCTGCCAAACTTGAGTTCCCTGACCACCCCAGTTGAAGGCCTTGATATACAGTTAGAGGTAAGCTAATCTGGAAATACCTCATGGAGCCTGAATTATAGTTATCCAAGGTATGCCAAAAGAAGATAGGAAGAAATTTATTGCTAATTTGGACCACTGACAAGGCTGATTCTGCTTGTCTTATTTTATACTCTCTCCTAAAGTATTACAAAGATTTGCTTTTTTATCATGTGTGCTGCTGTGCAGAACAAAATTCAAACAATTTATGCATATAGTCTGCAGCCTGAAAGAATGCTGTTCAACTAAGATCCTACAGGAGGCACTATCTTCCGCCCTCTAGGCACATTTTCTGATTTGCACTGTCGTATCCAGGAATAAGCCCTTTCTTTCTGTCTTTAAATCTGTTCTTTTTTTTATAATTGTCATGGTATAAAGTTGCAACTGTTAATTTTCCAATGGCTTTTTTCCTCTCTCCCCACCCACTGTAGGTGCTGAAACTGCTTGCTGAGATGAGCTCCTTTTGTGGAGACATGGAAAAGCTAGAATCAAATTTGAAGAAGCTTTTTGATAAACTACTGGTAAGAGGATTATTAGTCTTAAGAGAGAGAGTGAAAGTTTGTAATTAGATTTCATTATGCCTTTTATTTTATTTGAATTGAAAAGCACCTAGTGTAATGATAGTACTTCCAGAGGGATAACCGTGTTGTAATAGCTAATTGCTTTAGCAGATTTGAACACCAGATGTTGACTAATTTTCATACACAGTGTGTTTACAAGTGTGAAGGAGTTCAATTCTCTGGATAGCACAGCACTTGAAAGAAGCTTGAACAGCAACCAGGAGGAAATACATGCTTGGCTTCAGTAGTAGAGAGCAGGGACTCACAAATTGTGGCCAGCTTTGATAGCTAGACCACCAAACCGCAGGTGGGGTACTGTTGTCATCCTCCAACATTGGGCTTCCCCGCCCCCTGCCTTGGTGTAATCTGTAAGGGAGCCATAAATTTGTGGGGCTGGGTGTAGTCTTCCCATCTCTGTCTTCCTGTCTTCTAAGTGAGCTGCAAGAGGAGGATTTATTATTTATAATCTTTTGCATACTGCCCTTCAGCCAAAGATCACAGGGTGGTTTAAAATATAAAAACACAAAAAGATATACAGTGGTACCTCGGGTTACAGACACTTCAGGTTACAGACTCCACTAACCCAGAAATAGTACCTCAGGTTAAGAACTTTGCTTCAGGATGAGAACAGAAATTGCGTGGCAGTGGGAGGCCCCATTAGCTAAAGTGGTACCTCAGATTAAGAATAGTTTCAGGTTAAGAACGGACCTCCAGAATGAATTAAGTTCTTAACCCAAGGTACCATTGTATCACAATAGCTAACAATAACCTCGCATGCCTGTTTTTTAAATGTCCCTGTCCTGTGGTCTGATTGCTGAGGGTCCCCATCACCACCACTTCTTTAATCACTCCCTTTCCCTATGTTTCCATCTGGGCTCCCTTCACCGACATGAAATTGGGGAAGAGTCCGCCCACCCCTGTAGTAGGCAATGGAAATGAATTCCATCTGAATACATGCCTGTGTCTTTGTCTTTCTGCCGAGGAGAGTTTCAGGAGGAGAGCAGGGACACTGGAATGGATAAACACTCTGCAGAGGTCAAGATGCAGTGGAAAATGGCAGACAAAAGCAGACTAATCTTGACTGAGTGAAGTAAAAGGGAACGTTTAAAATGTTGCTACCTATTCTCGCTCAGTCAGAGAAATAGAAGGAAGGAGCAGGGACAGAATACAGTGGTACCTCGGGTTACATACGCTTCAGGTTACAGAACTTTGCTTCAGGATGAGAACAGAAATTGTGCTCAGGCAGCGTGGCAGCAGCAGGAGGCCCCATTAGCTAAAGTGGTGCTTCAGGTTAAGAACAGTTTCAGGTTAAGAACGGACCTCCAGAACGAATTAAGTACTTAACCCGAGGTACCACTGTAATAGGGGAAATGTTGGCAGTTTGTGTGTGCTGGTTTTTAAAAGGACAAATATGGCTTGAGATTGCACCCTAATTCTGACAGCTGGGATTAAATATACTTACTTGGCTGTGCAACCATGTTTGTGGACCTCTTTAGAAGGAGATTTGGTCACGAATACATAGTTGAGGCAATGACATCATAAATACTAGATGAAGTAATAAGTGTCAATTCTTCTGGTTTCTGTTTCTTAGGAATACATGCCACTCCCTCCAGAAGAAGCGGAGAATGGGGAGAACGCTGGCAATGAAGAGCCCAAATTGCAGTTCAGCTATGTGGAGTGTTTGTTATATAGCTTTCATCAACTAGGTCGAAAACTTCCAGACTTCCTGACAGCCAAGCTGAACACAGAGAAAGTGAAAGACTTTAAAATCAGGTAGCATTAAAGTGTGTGCGTGTGCAGACTTTATTAGAATAGCAGTAATGGAGTCATATAGGAGCCTGCTGATCTTTCCTCTGCCAGTTATAATTAACCATATGATTAATAAGCAAGCATTAGCCAATAATAGAAAAGGTTCACTAAAACTTCAGTCTGAAAATATTGAAGATACTGTTCCTAGTTTTCAGGGCAATAGGGAAATGTCTATGTCAGAATAGCTGTATAGCCCCAAACTGACATTTCAAACTTGCTTCTGACCCTCTAAAATTAATGAGAGAATTCTTCTCAGTTTCCTTATTAAAAGTTACTTGTTGGATATGTCATATTGTCTTTCTGTAACTCAAACTAGCCTATACTTGTATAGCAATGAAATGAATAGTTTACTGGGCGGTGAAACAAAATGCCTTTAGCTTATTAATAGGCACCGAAGGCTTATCGAGTATAAAAGCTGTAATGCTTCCAACAAAGAATTGCCTTTACGTTCATGAGCTGTAGCATATTAATACTGAACTGCAATTTAAGCTGCTCTTGAAGAACTCATAAAGGGCTCACATGTTCCGAATTCTCAGATCAAATGGCACTTTGACCAATAGTAACCCAAATGTGTCTAAGGATTATTTAATGGATCTCAACATTTGTGTCCCTTGGTGACCCTAGGTTTAGGGCTTTGCTCTGAGGTTTTCTGCTAACCTCCATGTGAGATTTGCTCCATGCCTTTGTTCCATCATCAGTTTCTAAAATTGATAAAGGAGTGGTTAGATGCCAAAGACTATGTAGTTCTTTCAGATTTCTCTTCAGCATCAGAACAATCTTCTCCATGGTCAGTGACAGCATCTGGCATCCTGGGGGTAGGACCCATCCTTAACACCTGCCTTAGACACTTTGATTCCCTCCGCCCCCCGGCCCAGTGATCCAAGCAGCACAGAGTCTACCCAGCATTTAAAGTGGGCATTATGGGAAATTTTTCATATATATTTGCATTTTCTATTTTACATAATACAAATGAAATAAAAACATAAACATATAAACCCCTTTATAAATCAGAGCTTGCCGTCCACTGCCATTCCATGGTAACCTGGAAGTCATTATGGGAAATTTTTCATGGTAGCTGTCGCAACTAGGAACCCCTGGTAGACTAGAGAGCCAACTTTGATTTTAGTCACATTTGGCACCAGCTTGGCTGCAGGAATTGCCGGAAGGAGACGTACAAGGCACTATCCAACTGTCAAAGAGACTCCACTCTAGGTTTGTGTAGGGTTTACACCTTAGCCTTTTCTTCTCCTGGAAATATCCTTCAAGGCAGTGAAGGATTAGGATCAAAGTTCCGCTTCTCTCAGTAAAATGTTCTTGGTTTTGATTGATGTTTAAATTATATTTGATATTAAAAAGTCTTGATTCATAAATCTACCCCAATGTTTATTCCTCTATAGAGACACCTTTATTTAGATCATTCTACATATGGTCTCTTACTCAAATTCAGTTTGCCAAATGTCTTTCTGTTGAGGCTTTTCTTTTTTCAAGATACTAGCAGTTTTCCTTTTTATCATCTTGATTTCACTGTGTGTTGCAAAACTTACTGTTCAGCTATTCTCTTTTGTTAAAGATTACAGTATTTTGCTAGAGGACTGCAGGTTTACATCCGACAGCTTCGTTTGGCACTCCAGGGCAAAACAGGAGAAGCATTAAAGACAGAAGAGGTATGTAGTCCTCTGTGATGGCAGTACCTTAGCTGAATTTACCATAATGATTTTATCACAGTACTGTATAGTCTGATGGATAAAGCTTGTGACAGTGGCGTTGATCAATAGTAACTGGGGGTGTTGCTCCCAAAAAATAGTTTTTCCAAATTACCCTGTGCCTTCTGGAAATCTGCTCCCGAGGGTGGAGAGAGTGTCAGGATATGATATGGGAGCTGCACAAAAGGGGAATTGATGAAAATCGGGGATGTCTTTTTCCATGAGCAGAAGTATCTCTCCACTTAAGCAAGCACCCTTGGATTGAACTAATTGAAGAGTGTCACTGTATCACTTCTATTTTTATGCATCCACTCTGTTTCACAGAGAACAGAAAAGCAGTGTGTTGCTAGAAGTATAGCAAGAGAGGCGGGGGGGGGGCAGTTCTGCACCAATCCTCCACATAAGTCAAAGGACCATAAACTAAACTACATGTTCAGTACATGTGATTAAAGATATTAAGCATGAAAGATTCCAGACTCTAGCAACTGTAATGTTTCAGATGGAAAATAGTTCTCCTCAGTGTTGTTCGTTAAAAGAAAAGAATGCACTGAGCTTCATTGGAAACATCTTAAATATAGACTTAAAAACAATTTAATTTTAACATTTCTAAACATTTCTCCTTTTTTGCAGAACAAAATTAAAGTGGTTGCGCTGAAAATTACAAATAACATCAATGTTTTAATCAAGGTAAGCCCTTCTATATTTTATTACTGGATTTGTTTAAAAAGGATGGTTTGGTGAAGCTATTAGTCCTGGAGCTATTTGTGACCAATCAATTCTGTGGCCCTAACTCTGTTCTTTCTGGAAACAGTAATACTGTTCCAATAACTTTCGCTGGGTGCTGCTCAGAGCGTCTGGCACAGCCCAGTCAGATGGGTTGCATTATTATTATTATTAGTATTATTATTAAATGTAGTAGATTCTTTCCTCACCTGTTGTGTTTGATCATTATACCAAACCTGTAGGGAAATTTAGTCTGTTTTCAAAAACAGTGCAGGAAACAATGGAATTCCATCAAATACTTTACAAGAACATAAAAGAGAAGTGAGAGAGAGACTGAATTAATACTTAATGCTGATCCTAATGATGGATTTCCCCAAATGTGGATTTTGGAGTGATTTTTTTTTTAAATCCAGGAAATCTGTCATCATGCAAGAAATTTTGAATTTGGGGAACTTTAGTTTTTAACATCTATTCTTCAACTGTTTAAAGTACTATTCCCAGAAACATATAATTCCTATTTTGTCTCTAGGATCTCTTCCACATTCCCCCTTCATACAAGAGCACAGTGACGCTGTCATGGAAACCAGTACAGAAATCTGAAGCTGGGTAAGTTAGCAGTGAATGACTTCCAACTATTTACGTATTTCTCTCTTGTCTTTCTGCGCTCCAGCAGATCTCGGTTAATGTAATGTTGGAGTCTTCTTTTAAATCTATTTATACATCTATAAAGTTATGCCAAAAATGTTATTCTGCACAAGTTACGATTTTGTATACATTCATTGGTTGAGTCAGTGTGTTTGAACATCCAAAGGAGAGTTAAGATAAAAGGAATAATAGAATTGTAGAGTTGGAAGGTACCTTGAGGGTCATCTGGTCCAACCCTGCAATAGCTACCTAACCTCTGCTTTAAAAAGGATATACTTTATTTAGCAAAACAAATAGCCGCTTCAGCAATTTACTCTGGAGAGAGATAGATGGGTTGGGATCCAGAGAAGTTCAGCAACACGTTCCCATGCACACAGGAGAAGTACAGGGAGCTGATAATCTTTGCGTTCCTTCTAGAAGTACCCACTCCTGATGAGGAGCTGCTCCAAAGACTCCTTAACCTTTCAGAGAGTAATGCTGCTAGAATAGGGAGAGCTACAAATACTGCATGTCTGAGCAGAATACAATATGCAGTGCCTGGGATCCTGGCATCTTGCTCCTAAAAAAGATGCCTAATCTAGGAGTCACCTCTTCTCTAGGCAAAACATAAGGCTACCTAGTATCTTCTTTACTTGAGAGTAAGCAGATGGTGGGCTTTTCTTTTTATAAAAATAAAAATAAGCAAGCTGCTTTTATATTTTTCTGCTATTGGTGTCTGGAAATTGTGTAAAAGCCCACCTGTTCTTGCAGAGGAGCTGGCTTTTCCAAATTCAGGGTTAACCAAGATGGTGTCTTCCAGATGTTACTTGACTTGTAACTCCAATCATCCCTGGCCCGTAGCTATGCTGGCTAGGGCTATGGGGAGATGGAGTCCAGCAATATCTAGAGAGCACTTTGGTTACTTACCCCTGCTCTAAGAAAAATAGAAGCTTTGGTTGTTAAGGTGATGTTCAGTTTTATCAATTTTGTGATGTCATATTTGCTGAAATCTGCCCTGAGCACTCTCATTTTATTTTAATTTTTAATTTTACAAACAAATGGGCTAGAGAGTAAGGTAATAGGAATCTTCTTGCTTTGAAATGCTAGGAATTTTTGTTCTATGCTATTAATGTTGCATGTCTGTAAATTAATTTTATACAAAAAGCCTTCATTAAGTTTTCCATTGCTGTACATATTGGGTTCATTTTTTTAAGTCTTACTTGTCTCTGCAATATTTTTATCCCCTATTTTCTTTGAAGGCAAAAAAGAGCAAGTGAGGATGCAGCTTCAGACTTGCCAACAAAGAAGGCTCCAGCAGGACCAAAAAGGGATTCCAGGCAGATATACAACCCACCCAGTGGGAAATACAGTAGTAACCTGGGAAATTTTTCTTATGGTAAGCGTTGCAAGAGATTCTGTTATTCTGCGCAGGGGAGAAATAGGATTCTGTTTTGTGTTGTAAGATGAGCTGCCAGGCTCTGTTGCCTTTGGGGGGTGTTGTTCTCTGGTATTCCTGTTCATGAATTTTGTGTGTGCTTTTTCGAGATACAATCTTGGCATGATTTTGCTTTACATATCATATTGAACAATGTCTAGACAGGTGTAGCAAGCCTGTGGCCCTCCAGAAGCTATTGGACTGCAGCTGTTGTTAGTTGAGCAACATCTGGAAAGCCTGAGGTCTCCTGTCTGTGGTCTAGTACAAGATCTTTATTTTTGGTCTCATTGGCATTTACCTGTATAAAATTTCAACCTCTCACATCCAATTCTGGAGTCAGGTTTTATTGACAATGAATAGGGAGGGGGGGTGTAATGATAGGAAACACTTCATTCAGATTTATGGGAAGGTCTTCCATGCCATCACTTAATTCTTTCATGAAAGAGCAATCCAAACTTGCATTCACTATGCCAGACCCTGCAGCTCTCATATGACAGCAATGGGCCTGATCCAGGCTTCTTTGCTTTGCCAGCCTGAGCACTGGTGCACCACAAAGGTTTTTTGTTCTGTCCTCCCACCTTCTTTCCTGGCCAGGGCTGTAGGAGTGGCAATGGCTGTGTTGTTCAATGAATCTCTGCCACTGTTGGTCAGTAGGGTAGGACTACTATAATGCTGGAGAAACGAAATAAGAATTGGAGAGATCACTATAAGCTGCTTCAATTAATCCCCTTTCCACACAATGTTTTTTTCTCTTTAAAAGGCGTTGTTCAGGTTTCTCGTTCAATTAAGGGCTGAAAAAAATGGTATATTTGATAATCATTCACAAACTTTGGCTTTCATATGCAATCAGTGCCATCTGTTTACTTAACAAAGACATTGTCTGGATTCGAAAGAGTCTCATAAGTGTATATCGGCAATTAGTGCTTCATCGGAAGGTCCCCAGAGTTTTGTAAGTGGCTTGTCTAGTGTTGCAAACGGCTGCAGGCATAATGAGGAACACTGGAAACTATGAAATGGACACTACCAGAAATGTCCCTTTTATTCCAACACTTAATAATATACAGGTAGTCACATACTCCGTAAGTGGTAAAGTTATTTTCTATTCTGTTAAACAAGTTCTGCAAATAAGTCCACAAAGAAATGATTAGCCTACCTGTACCTGTGTAGCATAATTGGAGGGTGGAGAGAGCCAATTGACTTGCCATTGGCAAGCGCCTATTTTCAAGTTTGTGTTCAGCTTAGACATCTTGCAAGCGGAGGTAAATTGCTGACTATACCTTCCACTATCTCAAGTTTGTATTTTTTAATGTAACTCAGCCTGTGATCTTAAGAGTAAAGGATGGTTAAGAAATAATGATAACAACAGACGTGCAGTATATGTAAAATATGTACATACAGAGTAATTATACGGATTACTACTACTTTTTCTATGTATCGGAGACTTAGATGTTAAAATAGTTTTACTGGATAAGGAGGGGTAGCACACATGAACATGCTAAATATTTCATACTCAGCCTTGTTTCAGAGTTGGGAGGCACATACGAGCAGGTTTATATTCTGACTTGAAATATATTTGCCATAGGAAAAGCTATTCAAAGGCAGGTTCACACTGTCCTATCCCTTGAGTGGTTGTGTAACTGGGAGAATGACCATGTGGATCAAGCCTTATGTGAACTGGGCAGTATGCGCTGGGAGCTGGTGTGGTTCTTACTAGTCTTGCTTCACACAGTTGGGCTCCTCATCTATATGATTAGAGAGTATGGTGCAATTCTTACTGTCATGTTTGTTTAAGTGACACTTGTATTTAAAAGCTAGAATTATAACTAGGGGTAGTTGCTGTTTTCCTTCTAGTCAATCAGAGATCTATATGTTTTAAAACAGACTTTTATTTCTCTTTATTTTCAGAGCAGAGAGGTGGTTTCCGTGGTGGACGAGGGAGAGGATGGGGTGGCCGTGGTAATCGCACTCGTGGAAGAATCTACTAAAATCAATGGTGTTTTCATTGCCATGATCATCTTTCAAGTCTTGACGAATTGCCTGGAGGGCTGCATTGTTTAAAGAACTGTCTTCTGCAAAAGACTGATTTAAATGTTCTTATACCTTTGTATGTATGATCTACTTTTCTAATGGACTGCAGACTCACCCACAGTGAAGCTACAACTGTATTTTTGGATGTTTAGCAGCTGGCAGTTTGAGTTTGTGTCTGGGTTTGTTTTTTAAGCATCTTCAAGACTTATTCAGGAAGAAAGCATGGGTTTTCCTGCTGACGTTACATTCATCTATAAATATGGCTATACAAAGTAGGCTCCTTAGTGTACAATAATTTTCATATGCTAGATAAGAGGTGGAAATGTTATAACTGAAGTTGAAATCAGCGGTAACCCTTCTCCAGACAAAATCGTATTTTTATTTTTTTTGCAGTAAGTGGGAAAGAATGATATTGCAGAAAAAGTAGTATAGGCTACCAGTGGTAGCATGATTGTTGATAGGAATCCTTGATTTTTAAAATGTGCAACATGGATGCATAAGAATCTGTGCTCTTTATCATAAGTCAGTCCATTTACTTGTTGGGAAGGGTGGGAGGGAGCAGGGAAGACCAGGTGTTAACGTGAACACATTTTGCTCTTCTCCATATATTGTCACATAATGTGTGTTTTGCAAATGGCTTTTTAAATGTTCTCTATAAATGTGTGTGTGCATATATATATATTTATATATATATGCCATAAAATTATAGTGAAAAAGAATAAAACTGCTAGAAATGCTACCCCAAGAATGGCAAATTTGTGATGCTGTAATAACTCTTTCTTGTTAAAGAGCTTGGATCAGTTTAGCCCTTAGAAGAAGCTCTTTTGTTTTTGTGTTTTTTGTTTTTTTAATTAGTTAGATACCTGTGTTTACAAATATTAAGCATGGCATTAGGCACTTGAAATTACTACTATTCAGTTGCACTTGGGTAAAAAGTTAAAACATCTTGGTAAATCTTACGTAATAATGGAATCATCATAGTGATAAGGATTCTAGATATTTTATTTAAAATAATATGATGTAGCAAACTTGATTCTCACCTTCCCCCAAAAATATTTCCCATTAAAAATGTATGTTGGGTCCTTAGGCATGGGAGGAGGAAGAGTGAGCAGCATAAAATGTCAATATCAGTAACAGATCATAGGAAAATTTAAAACACTGCAGGAATGTTTAAGTTACCCAGTGTCAGACTTTATTTTTTAAAAATTGCATATTCATTCTTTGCATCACTCCCCTCTAGAGTTTGATGCCTGTACTGAAAACCAACATTTTGTACAAAGCATATTTCCAGCAACCTCATGTATATCAGAGAGAAACAGTTTCTAAACTGGACAAATAAATCATTTTCATCATTCTTTGGGCCCCATCTGTGCTATGAATTTAAAGCAGTATCCTACCACTTTGATGCAGATGCAGCTTTGTCACGCCAGATGCAGCTTTGTCACGCTGGCCACGTGACCCAGAAGTGTCTGCGGACAGCGCTGGCCCCCGGCCTCTTAAGTGAGATGGGCGCACAACCCTAGAGTCTGTCAAGACTGGCCCGTACGGGCAGGGGTACCTTTACCTTTACCACTTTGAACAGTCATGGCTTCCCCCTGCCAAATAACCCTGGGCACTGTAATTTGTAAAGCAGGCTGAGAGTTCCCTAGGGAAAGCAGCTGATTGTTAAACCACTCGAATTGCAGCTCTGAGGGGAACAGGTGTTTCTCACAGTTCTCAGACCCTTTAACAAATTACAGTTCCCAGGATTCTTTGGGGCAAACCATGACTGTTTAAACCAGTATGGAACTGCAGGTGAAGCCTTGGTGTGTACAACCTTGTTTCGTTTTTCTTTCAATGGCCACAAACAATTCTAATTAAGGAGAAACATCTACATCTATTCAGATTTTTATTTTAGAAACTGGCCAAGTCAAAGTACAAATAATTGATCAAAATGGATTTTGGGGAAAAAATTGTTCATTCAGTATGCTGCATATTTTGGTTATCATGGCAATTTGAGGTCCTTTAATAATGTGAAAGCCTAATTTTTAAGGATGGGCATTCAGTGATTCCTACTGTGCCCAAGTATCTTTGGACAGGGGGTGGGGACGGTCCCCTAGGTAACAAATTGACTAAAAACTATTTCTGTTCATAAATGCAGATTGTCCTTAGAAAACAGCTATCTTTTTCACTTTTTGTTGTGGCTGCAGTGGCTTCTTTTTGGAGACACCCATTAATCACATTCTCTCTGTAAAATTTCCTTTATGCCTTTGCAATAAATCCATTTTGTAATTTTGTTAGTGACTTCTTGTTGCTTGGTCTTTTTCAAACGATAGCTTCCTGAAAACACACTGGACTTTTAACAAAATATGTCATCTCTAGGTTTTAGGGATAATCTAAATGTAAACCATTTTTGTGTGTTCTTATGAGTTGGGTGTGATGCAAAAGAGAGTTAAATATAATTATTTCACTTAAAAGAGCTTGGTTGGGTGATTCTCTACTTGGCTCAGTCATCAAGGGATAATGCACTTACAGCATGGTGCTTTTGCATAGAAAAAGCAATGTTCATCCGAAGAAGATAGAGAATTTCCTACAACAGCAACATTCCCTCTTCCTCATCATTCACAGCAAATTTACAGTGTTCTTGGATAGGCAGATTGTGAATAGGAATGGCCAAGTGAGGGAGGGGGTTCCTGCACTTTGTTGTGAACAGGGATTTCAGGTGTAGCTTGCATGACAAGCCACTCCCTCTTCTACACAACTATTAAAGGTGCGGGAAGGTTCTGTCTTCTTCTTTTCTTACTGGCCTCCATAGTTAGGAATGAACATGCCTGAAGGACCATGTTGGTAGACATTATTGGGACGCTGCCTTAAATTGAATTAAGTCATTGGATCTTCTAACTCTCTAATGATTTCCAGCAATCCTCTGAAGCCATTTGGGGGGTTGCAAGAAGACTGCATGAGGAGAAGGGAAGTCCCATCATGGAAGACCCGTACCCTTGCTTTTGACACCTGAGGTGTATATTTTTAGGACCCACCTTATATTTTTGAGAGGGTACATTGTTTTTAATACTGTGTTTTAATGTAATCTGCCCGAGATCGGAGGGTGAAGGACATGTGTCTACTCACACAATCACCCATTCTATGTATTTCTAAGGGTATTTTATAATCCATAGCTATATTCCTGGTCCTGCAGTTATGTTTAATCTTCAGCCATTGACAAATGTATTTCTTTTCAATGATGCAATGACTTACATAAATCTCTGGATGGTTAGGAATATTCCTAAATTCTGGTTTGAAAATCCCTAAATTCTTGTATCTTTAATTAGTCCTATTTGGTAATGGGGTGTGCATGTGCAAGTGTTCATCCTGTCAAGTGACAGACCCTGTCACCCCCACTGTATTCAAGCTGTTGAATGCCTTAGATAACTTAATGTGTTGTGCACATGGTACACATTAAACAGCCCCATTTAACTATAGATGCATACTGGAAAGGTGGTCCATTCCTTCTTACTAAAGTCATAATTAAAAATTCAAAAATATAGTACAAAAATACCAGTTTAAAATTGATTAGATGCAGAATGGGGGAGTAGTATAATTCACTTTGTACGTTGAAGAAGAACATTGTTTTTGATGAACAGCTTTTAAGGTTAGCTGCAGTGTCTAGCAAAACTGAAATGTTTCCCTGCTACTTTTTGAATATTGTCGTTTCTAAGGGCATTTATTCTTTGGAATCTGGCCCCTTTGCCCTGTGCAGAATGCAAGTGAGCCCGATTCTGTTCGGTCGTGTAATAGTGGACACAGGGCCAGAGTAATACATGTCTGCCACGGGTTTCGGCCCCTGTGTCAGTATACCTCTTATATGGCCTGTTGTTGCTGGGGCGTTTTTTTCAGATTGGGGGGGCAGCCTGAAATGTTCTTCCATCCGGACGGGCAGCTGCAGCAGCCTCCAAGCGGGCACATGGTCCCATGTCAGAAGCAGTCCGTCTACTCTGGCCCTCCGTGAAAAGGGGCTTCCTCTCGGGAAAGCGGGCGCAGGATTGCAGCCTAAGGCACACGTACAACTAAAGGACTGCAACGCGGTCAGCCAGCTGGCGGGTGCTCCCTTCGCGGAACAAAAAGAGCGCGCCTCGTATTCACCTTCCGATGACAGCGGCTGCGATCCCGCGATTCGCTGCTGCCTCTGAGCAGCACGTGGGAGGGCGTGGCGGAGGATGCGTAGAGGGCGTGGCCTCTTCTCTACTCCGGGCGCCCTCCTTTCATAGGACACGCCCCCTTTCGCCACATTCTTTCTCCGCCTCCTCCCGCTTTCCGGGGCGCAGCCACGCGAGACGTCCTCATCTGTTTGACCCACCGCTCTCCTCCCCTTCTTCCGGCCTCTCCCGGTCACATAGAGATAGGAAGAGAGGAAATTTAGAGTGACACGCGCACGCAGGACTTGTGGTCTTAACAGGGAGCTGGTTTCCCACACTTCACTCACAAGGCGAGTTGACTGAGGGAAGAAAAAGCTGCTTTGCTGCTGCCGCAGAGAATCCATCCGCGCACAGCGGCGTCTCGAAACATCTAAGCTTACAAGTTCGGGCTTCGCGCGAGTCTACACCTTTTCGTACCTCTAAACTTTCTGAGCGCGCGCGCACACTTCCTTCTCCAAAATGGCGCTGGAGGCCAATCCGCTTCCGGGTGGCGCGGGTAGGCCGGGCTTGAGGAAGATGGCGGTAGCAGCGGCGGCGGCAGCAGGAGCCGGAGTGTCCGGGCGGGGTGGTCGAGGGCTGGCGTGCGCCTCTCCGGGCTGGGCGCTGCTGGGCCTTTTCCTGCTGCTGGGCTCTGCGGCTCAGCCTGGCGCCGCCACCACCCACTGGGTGGTCACCGAGGATGGCAAGATCCAGCAGCAGGTGAGGGAGGGGCTCCTCTGGCCGCTGTGGGAACCGTCACCATAGAAACGCTTCCTCCCCCCCCCCCTTCCCTCTGCATTCTTCTCCCGGTGCCAAGGAGGGTCCGTCCCCTGTGTAGGGAAGGAGAGAGAGAGAGGCTCTGCGGGCGCATTGCCGGTGCCTGAGGTGCAGCCCCTTCCCATCCCTTTCCAGCGCTGCTTCCCTTGCTGGCTCGAGTTTCCTTCCCTCCCTCTCAGGTCTCCAGGTGCACATGGCCGCGAGGTTCTTTCTAGAGAGGTGCGTGAGCAGATCCTGCAGGATCAGGCCAGTGGCCCAAATAGCCCAGTGTCCTGGCTGAGCCCTTGCCTGTGGGAAACCAGCAAGCGGGGTTCGGGCACAAAAGCAGCTCCCCTCCTGTGGTTTCCAGCAACCTCGTTGCTGCTGTTCTTGAGGCTCTTCCTTTGATCAGCGTTTCTGTGGTGGTGACCTAAGAAGAGCCCAGCAGGGATCCCTTTAGGACAGCAAAGTGCCTCTGAGGAAAGTGTGTCACGTAGGAATAGGGTCAGCAGGCCCTCCTGTTGTTTTTCTGCCCGCACCCCTTCTGGGCGGCCCAGGATTTGGTCTTCAGGTGTATACTCCCTCTGCTTATGGACATTCTCATTTAGTTACGGTAAAGGTTGACCTCTGTGAATTTATCTAAGCTATCACCGTGACACATTATGTAGTGGTGAATTCCGTAAGTAACCATGTGTTACATGTAATAGAGAGATAAAGGTACTATCGGCCGCCTGCCGGTTTCATTGGGACCTTCGTTCCGGAATAATGAGAGAGGTGAACTGAAGACTCCTCAGTTTCTCCACATGATTTTATTAACAGGTCATGTGTCTTCATAGTCATCTTTCTCTAAAGAGCCCCAAATGTCCTAGCCTAGCCATTCCTTGTTTGGAAGTCCAGCTCCCTGATCACTTTAGTTGCTCTTGACTGTAGTGTTTTAAATATCTCCTAATAATTTAATTCCCAACATTTATTTTTTCTTCCCCCACCCTACAATGCTGCACCTTCTGTTGAAGCTTTCATTTAAGGTTTGCTGTGGCACACAGTCATCTTCCACCTGAAATGCCCTTTTTGAGTCCTACAAAATCTCTTTCGAGTTTCATCTACAAGCATGGCTATCTCACGGCTCACCCTAACTCCATATCATATAGGAATGTTAAATGGCAATGGACCCAGTACAGAGTTTTCTTCAAAACATTTTGAAAATGTTCTGCTTATTCCTACCCTCTTCTGCATGATCTTTAACCAATTACCATTTCACAACCAATTACCATTTCACAACCATGACTACTGTTTACTTAGGAGCCTTGTTGGAAGTCCAAGTATGACTACTGAATCTCCCCTACCTTACATGCTTGTTGACACTCGAAGAATGAAAATCAAAACATCCTTTGCAGAAGCCATTCTAATTAATTAATGTTGTTTAACCATCTAGTTTCAGTAATGCTTTC